GAAATGTATAACCTTAACAGATGCAGATTTTAAAGGTAATAATTCTAGATGTTACCAAAAAGTAGAATGTGAAATACTAAGCAAATATCTTCAAATTAAAACTCTAAAAAATATGCCATCACTCGTAACTCTTCTGTCTCTGTCTGTCTCTCACTCTCGCTCTCTCATACCCTCTTTCAGACTCACCACAGGTCCTGTGGTTCTACCTTCAAAACAGAGCCAGATTCTGACCGTGTGTTACCACTGCTGCCACCACCAGTTCTTCCTTGGGTGACTGTGAATGACTCTTGTCAAGTTGCTTCTTCCTCTGGCTCATTCAGGGCATTACCATGTTTCTCATTGTTTCATCCTTTAAAATGCTTAGTAGTGATTTCTTTTAGTTACAGAAGTAATCAAAGGTATTTATTTTAAAAAACAGTGTGATTATCTACTTTTTGCTTGAGGTACAACCACACTGTTAGACTTTCTTTATGTACAAAAGCATTAAAAATAAGAACAAATGCACACCCTTCCACCTACCATCATAGTGTTTAATTTCCTATGTCAAAACATATACAACGATATAATCACATTGTCTGTATTGCTATTTAAAGTATCCTCAATGACTGCTAAATATCCAGACATTTCCTTCTCTTTTGCTATTTTTTATCTAAGCTTGGAGGGATTGGATATTGGTTATTGGAAATGACAGCAAATATGAATATGATTCCAAGACTTCTATCACAGTAAATAGTTTAGGGAAGAGAAAAGGACAACTCCCCACATCCCATGACTTGGAAGTGGTAAGAAAGGTAAGTAAAAGACTGAAGGAAAGAGTCCAATCTTAGACTTGAGGTTTCAGAGCTTGGCAAGACATGAATGTCCCTGCAGATACACTACAGAGGCAGTTACAAAATAAGAACAGAAATGTAAGATTCTGAATTCTTGATGTCTTCCCTTAAATTACTCTGCATGACTAGCTTATATGTGGTCAACTGTCAGCTCTCTAAACACCATTAGAAAACCTCGTTGAAACAGCAAAGCCAAGTTTAGCAGACTGACTGCAGCAAGAGAGAACAAGAAGAGGAAAGACAGAGAGAAATTTACAAGGCTTTCAAGTTAGGGTGGGTTCCACCACTTTATTCAGGATTTTGCAAGGTGGGGACCTGGTTAGAACTGAGCTAAGTTTATGAAAAGATAAGGACAGGTGAGCACAATGAACTGAGAAGTCTGAAGCAAGGCTTTCCTTTCTGGTCAATAATTTGTATAAATAAGCTATTGGGTGTTTCTCAGTCAGGAGTATTTCCTAGAGCAAATAGGTAACTATGTTTGATTCTTCTCAGTATTATTTAACACAGGGGTGGGAAATATGCCTGTCCCCAGAACTGGGGAGCAACATTACGTTGGTGTCAACTTCCCACATTTTATGGGATTAAAAAGCTTTTACACTTTATTGATCATCATTTGGGAATGGAATGAATTGTGGAAACTAAATGTGATCTCTGGAATGGACAATATGCCAAAGTTGACACAGTAAATTTGAAAAACAGAAGAAAGCTAACTTACTGATGTTATCATAGGAAACTTATAACCATCCCTCAGTATCTATAGGGGGTTGTTTCCAGACCCTCCGTAGACACAAAAATCTACAGATGCCTAAGTCCTTTATGCAGGATATAGGGGCATGGTACTTGCATATAACCTACTGCTAGGTTTCATTCATTCTGCCATTAAAAAAAAAAAATAGTCCTTGGCCCCTGCCAATATTTTGAGCTGGTCTTACTCCTTTCCTTTGGTTAGTTGTCCTAAAATCTGTGATGATAATTCCAGTGTCTGGTTTTTGCAAGTTTCCATTTATATAATTCTCTTCGTGATCTCTAAGCCAGGCTCACAGCTTTACTTCCCATCCATCCCTGACTAACCCAATATAAACTTTTTCTCTCCAGATCCAACTTAACTGCCAACTCAAGATCTCCATTTGGATGTTAGTGAATGACTCACAAAAATGCTCAAGACTAAACTCTATGTTCTCCCTCCATGCATTAATTTAAAAAAATAGATATGTGAAATCAGGAATATACTTACTGTGCAAAAGACTCAAGAAGAATTAGCCAATTAGCAAGCTCCTGAATGCTTTTTAGTATGATTCCATATTAAAAGTTAGAGTTGTAAACCAGTTTCAATAATAATTCTATGTTTTTAGTTCATGTGATCATTCTATATGTGGGATTTTGTAAGGTTATTCAGAAAGCATGGTAAAAATTCCAAACTAAAACCCTCTGAGATAAAAAATTTTCCTCATTTTAATGTCTCTTCACATAATTTTCTACTATTCCAGCTCCTACAGCATCCTCCAAGGTTTAAGATGTGCTAGTTTCCAAATCTTTCTCCAAAGGATCAGCACTATTGATCTCTGCATGTAATACTCTTTTGGATATTATAATGCTATAGTATTCTTTTTCATCTCTCATTTTCCAAATTCTGTCTCCCCCACACCCTAGGCTTAGCCTTATTGCCTCCTAGCATTTTCTTTACATTGTCTATGACTTTCATTCCCCCGTGGCTTCAAACAACCACCTCCATCATATTTAAAAAGCATGAACAACACTTTATTTTTAAAATTTAAAGGACAGATAATGCAATAGCAATATATATTCTGTCTCTCAAACAAAACACAAAATGTTAAATGTTGGAAAAAAAGGCGACTTGGAATCCAGACACTGGCATGGAAGTCCCAAGTCTCACACTATCTGTGTAACTTCCAATTCTTATCTCTTGGGTCCTAGTTTCTGCATCTTCAAAAAGGAGAGGATTGGACTAGCTAGCTCATCTTTCAAAGTTTTTTTTTCCCCTTTAACATTCTAGTTCATATTTCTAAAATGGCTTACAACCAATATGGCTCTTCGTGGCCTCTATTCCCATTTCTATGACTCTCATACAAACAAGTGGGGGGGAGGGGATTCTCTAACCCTAACCTACATAATGCTATGTAAATAATTGTTATATTGTATTGCTTTTCTATTTGTGTTCTTATTGTTGTATTTTCCATCCCAAATATTTTTGATACTAAGCCTGCTGAATCCATGGATGCAAACTCACGGATTTGGAGGGCCAATTGTATATCCAACTGCCTATGAGCTCTCCACTTGAACATTCCTGGGATATCTAGAGTCAACTAATCATTTCTTATAGTCTTAGTATTATTTCTAAGTAGTTTAATACATTTGGTACCAAAATGTATCAAACTACTCAGTTACTAGAGGGTCATTCTAGAATCTTCTGTTTCCCTCACCACTGCTCTACATCCGAGGAATCAGAACTTCTTTCAATTTACTCCCTACATTTCTTTCATAGCTTCATACCATCATGACCACTGCTGAGTTCAGGCTCTCACCATCTCTCTTGCATTACTTAGCTCTTTCCACAAAGCAATTCTATACTCTGGTCTCAATCTCTCAAACTCATTTTTTATGTGACTGTTATAATTAACTTACCTTAAATAGATTAAAACCTAATTTCTACTTTTTTTTTTTAAACTCTTCACTGGCTCTTTAGTCGCCTGCCAAGATCTTTATGATCTGACTCTGCAATCACACTTGTTCCCCTCCAAAACCTCCCCATAATTTAAAAACCAAAACAGTAACAGTGTTTTAAGCTCTCTTGAATACATACTTGTGTAATTTAAGAAAGTCTTGTTTGTGCACTTTGTTTCTCTGCCTAAAAGAGTCTTCCCTTGATGCACACACCAGATAAATTCCTCTTTAAACCTTAAAATATAGTTCTGGTGTCTTTTTTTCTGAAAACTTTCTTTCTGACTACCACTCCACAATGATTCTTCCAGACAAAGTTAATTAAACTACTTCTGGTTCTTCCTCTGGGCCATCCCTCTACCCTACACTTGCTCCCATTACTCTATCAACATTATATAACTGACCCTTCTTTAAAAACAAACAAAAAACTCCAGAATTTATATTTTTCATAATGGTACCCAATAATGATTATGAAGAAATACACTACATTTGATGCATTAACTTTACCACACTGTAAAAGCATTCTGAAGGCAAGCATAATTTTTGGCAAATTTTGAAAGAATGAATTGGAAACCCTCAATCAAAACTGAAAAAGGTAATATCAGAAGAAAAAAATCATCCTCGTTCCCAGAAAATAGGAAAAAACATGATTCAAAAAATACAGAGGCTAAGAGAACAGAATCACAAAGTTTTTGTCAGAACACACAGTAAATTACCTAACATAGTGTCTGGAACATACTGTATGTTCTTTAAAGTTAACTGCTATTATAATTAGTACTATTATTATTAACTAAAGTGACTAGACTTGGATGAATTAAAAGTTGTTCTAGGGCATAGATACTTTTAGAATAGGTACTAAGAATTGCAAATTCCATCAAACTCTTTAAAGTTTTTTGTTTTTTTTTTTTTGAGTTGGAGTCTCATTCCGTCGCCCAGACTGGAGTGGCATGCTCCTGGCCACCACAGCCTCGACCTGCTGGGCTCCAGTGATCCTTCTGCCTCAGCCTTCCGAGTAGCCGGAATTACAGGCATGCGCTACCACGCCTGGCTGATTTTTTTTTATTTATTGTAGAGATGAGGTCTTGCCAAGTTGGCTGGGCGGGTCTCGAACCCGTGGCCTCAGGTAAGCCACTCACCTCGGCCTCCCAAAGCGCTGGGATTACAGGCTGAACACCGAGCCCGGCCTAAAGTTTTTTAATGAAAAAAAAAAATTTAAGAGTGACTTCTCATTAAGCTAAGAAATGTGATAAATAATAACTACCTTTTGTTACTTCCTAAGTAACTAATATGCAATGGTTCCTTCCCTAATGGAAATCATTCCATCACCAAGAAATTCTATTGAAGAGACTTACCAACTTCTACTTGCTACAGGTTTCCTTGTTGCCACATGATAAAACAAATGTATCAAATGATAATTAACACAGCAAAATACAGGGCAGTCTTGTTCTTATAGAATTACACATTCTAAGAAGTTGCCAGAAAAGGCCTCACCTTGAGGAGCATCTGCATCACATCTCTTTGGCACAGAAAGGGTTGAATTACCTTTGTGGTAATCAGAAGTCATATTGCTCTGAAAGATGAAAATATACATATAAATGTAAAAAGTACATTAATATATTAGAATCAAAAAGTAACCACCTTATGAACTATATACTGTGTTTTCTATTAACTACATACACCAACTATCTAAAAGGCAAATTTTATGCAAAATTGCAATTAGGAGAAAAAGAATTATGGCAAATTTAACATCAGAGCCTTTCTGTAACAATCCTTTAGGTCCAAACAATTCAATAAGGGCTTTTTCCCAGAACAAAGAAATCCCATTTCTAGACTGTGGAACAAGCAAAGGAACCTATTTTGTCCACACAAAAGCATAATCTCCCTTCCTAGCTGTGTGTGGTGGCTCACACCTGTAATCCCAGCAACTCTGGGAGGCAGAGGCGAGAGGACTGCCTGAGCCAGGGGTTCGAGACTAGCCTGGGCAACTTGGTGAGACCCTGTCTCTACAATAAATCAAAAAATTAGCTGGACGTGGTGGCACACGCCTGTAGTTCCAGCTATTTTGAAAGCTGAGGTGGAAGGATCACCTGAGCCTAGCAGGCTGTGAGTCCCTCCAGCCTGGGCAACAGAATGAGAATTTGATTTAAATAAATAAATAAATAACCTCCTTTCCTTCATTCATAGAAGAAAGTTGAATGGGCCTGACCTAGTGAGCCAGGTGTAGAGGAAGAGGCAGGAAGAAAATTCAAAGACAGAAGAAGTGAGAAATATGATTCAGATCATCTCTCAGCATGGTGGTTCCCAAATCCAGGTCAAATGTACCTCCACCATGTCCACTATGATCTGGGTTTAATCTAAACCACTGACATCATCACTTAAGATTTTTCAATGAAACAACTTTTTAACATTTAGCAATAATATGGATGGTGCTGACTGAGGGTTTGCTATATTTGTTAGAGTCTTGTTTCTAATCACATGCTAGAGCAAGAAAAGAATTAAGAAGGTACAGGATTAAAAGAGAGTGGGTTGGAAAGACTAGGTTAATAATGGAAGACTCCACTAAAGCAATACTTGAACTAGGCCCTAGAACATACATAGTATTTTAACTGCTAAGAAGTAGAGCAAGAGATATTTTAGAAAAAAACAAAGCAAAAAAAAAAAAAAAAAAAAACTGAACTAAATAAATGTTGAATCAGATATGGCTAAAATATTTTAAATATTCAGAAAATCTAAACACACTGTCCTATTAAAACTAAAAACCACATTTGGCTTTGCGAGATCTATAAGAAATCAGTACAACAGACATGAGGATACTCATCATATTAAAAGGCAGCCCGGTTACCCACAAATAAAATATTTATAAAGCCTCTGCTATGGGATTCATAGTACCAATGAACTGACATAACTGTGCTCACCAAAACTTTTTTTTGGAGTCATATTATTAAAACTACTTAAAACATTAAGGAAGTATTATGAGTTTTATTAAAGTCGTAAGAAAAAGCCCAACAGCTTAGCACCAGGGATCTGTTTAAGGAACTATTATTATGAAATTCTGTGTGTTATTTAAAAAAAACAACATAAAAAAAATACAAATATGCTCAAAAACAGATTGAAAAACTAGTTTTAGCAATTTAATCTGATAAGCTAATATCTTATGCCAGCCATGACAATTAAAATTAGCTTTTCAATATGACTATCTTTAAAACATCAAAACAACCAAGTTTTGAACACCACACACACCTCTACTACGTAGTTCTGGCTTCCGTACATGACGTACTGCGGCGCGAGGCTATAGATCATGTAGCTGGAGTGGAGGACAATGAGCAGGAGGATCATGCAGAGGAACAACAGGGCTTGGGGCCGGGTTCTCCCCCTCCTGATTTTATACAACTGGAAAGAAGGACATGACAACATTTCGGCAACAGGATTTATTCGCAAGGCATTAGGTCCTGCTTTTGCATTCCAGGAAGTGATTTATAGAATTCAATCAGACATTTCTTTTTTTCCAAAATAAATACTAAGAATTCTCAGTTATTCCAAATATAAGATTGATAAAGATCATTCCTTCCCCATACAGCCTTCAGATTTAGCTTTATGTATATTTAAAATATTGGCAAAACATCTATATCCAAAGAATCCTATAAATGATCCATGAACAACCCAGAACCTAGAAAATGTACTGGTATTCACAGTCTGTTTCCAGACAAACCTTCTAAACTTCCTGTGGTACAGTAAGAACTAACTGTGAACTACTTGAGTTCTATCTAAAGATGAGAAGTATGAGTTTGAGTTAAAAGTACTAATAATATATATAAATGCTAGCCGGGTTCGGTGGCTCAGCCTGTAATCCCGCGCCTTTGGGAGGCTGAGGTGAGTGGATTGCCTGAGCCTGTGGGTTCGAGACGTGCCTGGGTAGGCAAGACCTCATCTCTACAATACATCAAAAAATTAGCCAGGCGTGGTAGCACAAGCCTGTAATTCCGGCTACTCAGAAGGCTGAGGCGGAAGGATCACTGGAGCCCAGCAGGTCGAGGCTGTGATGGCCAGGAGCGGCCACTGCACTCCAGTCTGGGCGACAGAATGAGACTCCAACTCAAAAAAAAAAAAAAAAAAAAAA